GAGGGAGGGAGGGAGGAAGGAAGGAAGGAAGGAAGGAAGGAAGGAAGGAAGGAAGGAAGGAAGGAAGGAATTATCTCCATAGTCTCTACCCATGTCCTTGAATGTAGTTCTTCACCCTGTGGGATATTTCTGGCCCTCTTGGCACAGCCTGCAGCCCACGAAGGGATTATGTTGTAACTTGGAGCAGTGGCAACCATAGCACCTTCTGATTCCTGAACCTGTCAGAGGTGCCAGCATGCCTGGTTAGTTTTTGGAATGGAGGTGTCTCTTCTTCAGGCAGGGACTGAGGACCAGCATTTCTAAACCGTAACACCTTTGTCTTTTTATCACACAGTTCAGCAACCCTGCCTGTCACTTTCCGCTGTGCTGAAGAAAAGAACCACGTGGACAAAAGGATCACTAGATTTGTGTTACCCGTTGGTGCTACAATCAACATGGACGGGACTGCACTCTACGAAGCAGTAGCAGCTGTGTTCATTGCACAGTTGAATGACATGGACTTGAGCATTGGGCAGATCGTCACTATCAGGTGGGGGCATGGTGTCACATTCATTCTCATCTCCATTACTGGAATTGCCTCTAGTAAAAGTTGCCTGTGAGGGGAGATCAAGAGTGGTCCAGTGGTGGGTTGATTTTCTTGGTGTACAAAGTCTGTTCCCAAGACTAAGCATAACTCTGTTACAAGCAGTGGGATCGTGCTGCACAAGATTTCTGCTTCGAGGTCTGGATAAGCCAAAAACATCATTCTGTTCTCAGTTCAGTGCCTCACTGGGTCCTAGGCACAGAGTAGGTACCAAGAATTCAAGATTGAACAAGTGCCAATCTCTGCTTTCAAGGGGTTCCCAGTAGGTAGATAAGGGGTACACATATCTAAATAAATGCTGAGTGGTGTGATAAGGGCTATAGTAGAGGTTTGAATGGGAGGCATCGAAGACACCAAGGAAGGAAGGGTTGGCTCTACCTGGGAAGGTGAGGAAAGGCTTCCTGGAGAGAGTTTAGCTAAATCTTAGAAGAGGAGTAAGAATTTCATAGGAAAAGAAGGAAGCTAAGAGCATTTTAGATGAAAGGAATAGCAAGTACAGATTATTTTGTATGACTGACATAGAGTGTGAAGTGGAGAACATAAAGAAACAAGGAGTCAGGAATCATGCCATGAAAGCTTTGTATGGGGAGCTCATGGAAAGGTCTTTGACAATCTTTCATACCATGGACAGAGTTTCATTTTAGAAAGGCAACTGGATGGGAGCAGGAACCATAGCTGGAAGACCAGTTAGGAGACTATTACAGAAATCCAGGTATGGTATGAAAAGGCCCACATCAGGGCACTGACATGAGGGATGGAGAAGAGCTAGTGAATTAAAGAGGCATCAGTTAGATTTGGAGTGAGGGACAGGTGGCAGATAGGATGACTCCCAGGATTGGTGGGTGTTTCTGGATTGGTGGATGGTGCTTACCAGAACAGGAACTAGTCTAGGAGCAGCAAGTCTAGGTAGGAAGATAGAGTTTATACTTTTAGACATATTGAATTTGAAATGCCTTTAAGACACCCAGGTAGAAGTATGCAGTGAGAGAAATGTGGTCTTCACTGTAGCTACAGAAGCCAGGGTCCTCAGCTTGATAGGGAGTCAATTATCTGAGTTTGAATCTGAGCTTCACCATGATTAGCTGTAACCTTGGCCAAGCTACTTGCATTCTCTAAGCTTCTGTTTCTCACCCGTAAAATGAGGATAATAATAGTATCTACATTTTGTGCAAAAAGTGATCATTAAGTCAGACGATGCATATAAAATGCTTAGAATGATGCCTACATAGTGAGCATTCAGTAAATGTTCGAAATGGATGGCACTGCATAGGGAGAGTCCATAGGGAAGAGAAAAGGACTAAGGACTGAGCCCTAGAAAATCCTAATGTTAGAGGCAGGGAGGGAAGAACCCAAGAGGAAGAGTGAGAAGGAAAGAAAGATGGGAAGAGAGCTTGATACCCAGAGGAGAGAGATTTTCAAAGATTAAATGGTCTGTGGAGTCAAATACTGTAATTAAATGGTCCGTGGAGTCAAATGAAGACTGAAGTTGTCTACTCAAGTAGGGGGTGAAAATGTCCTTAGTGAATTTTGCCAGAGCTGTTTCTCTGTAACAGCCCTTCTCAATATAGTACCATTAGCTACACACACGAATTGGACGGAGCAGACACAGAAGGTTCTATCATTGTAGAAATAGGTGCTGTCATTGTAGAAACTCCTACTGATCATTGCTGCTTTGAAGAGTAGATTGTGATTAGTCAGAGACTTTAGAGCGGGAGTATGAGACTAAACTGGGTTCTTGCGCCTACTCAAGGCTGAACCTGAACATTTCAGAGTTAATTCATTCTTTCACCCCTAGCACTTGGTATGGGCATAAGTTCCAGGCAAACAATAAATTCTAACAGTGTTCTCATACAGTGCATTTTTAAATCTTCCCCAACCCTAAGCCATAACGTACTTATTGCAGTTTGCTTGAAATTAACCGAAGACAAGTGCAAACTGGACCATTTGGCATATTCAGCTGGGCAACTGCATGATCTATAAAGTGTTAGTGGCTAACAAGCCATATTAGTGGCTAAAGAGCCTCAGGCTATAGTGACCGCGTGGTTAACAGTGATGTATTGGGGGGTTCCAAGAGGGAGCAGTGGGCATGGGCACCTACTACTTCTAACAAAGAAAACCCATCATTGCAGTCAGTTTAAATGTTTTCCATCAGAAAGAGCTTGAATGAAGTTCTGTAGTTTGAACAGCAACAAGTAGGTTAAAATTGAAATCTTGATCCACAGCCACGGTGGTTCCAACAGTTGTTACTTTTAGCCTCCCCAGTGCCTTTCCCCACCTCCCTCACCTTGGGCTGTGGGACCCCGTCTGCACTGAACTGGTTTCTAAGGAGTGGTTGTAAGAGATGCCAGTTCTTTTGGGTCTTTGCCACTTTGTGATGAATTCCCTCCCTGCCTCAGTCATAAGTTTCCTGGATCTTTGTAACCTTTAAAAACAAACAAACAAAAAACTGCTAGAGGAATAAACTTTGGGCCTTGAGGCTACATACTCAATTCACATAAAAATCTCTCTCCCTGCTCTGGGGTATTCTTATATCAGACTTGGCTGCTAATACTGGCCCAGAGCCAATGACAGCTGCCTGGCCAGGGTAATCATTGACTCAAAATAAAGAATCCTCTCTGGCTCTACCTGGGAGAGAATGAAATAATAAATGTTAAACTTGACAAGTTACAGTGTGGCTCCTGTGGCTAAAAATATTTGGGGACCTATAGTTTATCTCTTTCTCTGGCCATTTTGGACTGGACATCAAAAAAATGTAAGCACCATCTACCCAAAACACACCCTGTTGTGGTTTTCTCATAACATTCATTTATCAAAGGTTATAACTGATTAAAAGTAGGATACATCTTCTTATAATGAAAGGTAATTATAGAATTTGGGGCCCAGAAAGAGCTTGGAGGAAAAAGTAGCGGTGAAAGTTTTTGTAGTGGTAGTAATAATACTAGCAGCAGTGGTAGTAGAAGCAAGAGCAGCAGCTGCTGACGTAGCAGAAGTGGCATCAGTTTTTAAGAATCTACTAAATCCAGGTGCTGTGCTGGGTGCCTTAAATGTGTTACCTCATTGAATCTGCACAGCAGCACTACAAAGTAAACACATTAGTTCCATCTTAGAGGTGACAAATAGATTCAGAGAAGTAACTTGCCTAAGGACAGGCTGTTAGTAAAATTTTTCCTGCCTATCTGAAGATTTATACTTCAGACGAAAGCCAGTTAGATAGCTGAAGTTCAGTAAAGTAAGGTCAAGGTCAAAGAGCAGAGTTTTAACTAAATGGATTTTGAATCTCAAGCCCAGCCTCAGGCTATGGTGACCCCATGGTTAACATTGGTGTGTTGGGGGTCCTAAGAAGGAGCAGTGGACATGGGCACCTACTACTTCTGACAAAGAAAATCCATCATGAGGTCAGTTTAAATTTTTTCAACCAGCATTGAAATAAAGTTGGATTTAACAAAGAATACTTAAGTCAGAACAGATCCAAAGGGTTGTGCAGGCCTGGAACTTTTAGAGGAATTGGGACAGCCCCAGAAATCTCTAACTTACTAGAAATTGGGTGGCCATTGCCACTAAGAAAAAACTTACTTGTCTAAGAACTCTGGCCTGAGTTTAACCATACCCTCAAACACCACCTGTGACCCACACTGGGCAGATGAATGGGCACTGGAATCAGCTTTGTAAGAACTCTGAGGCTTTATGAACTCACAAGAATATGGATTTGTGGCTAGAATCGGGGATTCTTTTAGTCTAAATAGGCAGTTTCTGCATCTTTACCTTTCAACTCAACGACATCTTAGAGGCAGTTCAGGCTTTGGCCCAGAGGAAGGACACGTCTCGAGAAAATGTCATGGGTGTCCCCTTCAAGCTCTCAAATCAAGGGATCAGGACCGGAGGAGAGCCCTTGTTCCTCCAAAGTGACCAGATTTAAGGAAGTTGCTGGTGAAAAACTGTACATTCCAAAGGGATGTGCCACATTTTATCTGCCCGAGAGGGATCTTTTTAAATACTTAGCAAAGTTCACATGGCTGCCTCTCCTGAATTCCAGACCTTTCTTTTGTACAAAGTGCATCCACTGGCAAAAAGGAGCAGTCAGGAATGAATGCTTATACCTTGGACAGGAGTCAGCTATTTCTCAAGTCAGTGCCCTAAAGGGCATCCGCCAGAGATGTCAAGAGTCTTATGATGTTGAGAAAGTGGATAAAACCTCCTTAAACACTTGAGGTTTTCGCTTCACCTAAAATGCCCTTGTCCATCTATCCATACCACTCTCCCTCTACTATCCTTCAAGGCAACATAAATCCCTGGCACATATTAGATTCTCATTAAATGCTTGATGGGTGAGTAGACAGAAGTAAGTAGGTGGAGAGACATTTGTCATTTGTTCAGGAGGGATGGGTAGTCACCCATCCTAGTTGGTAAACACTTGCCTTCCTCTTAAATATATCTCTTGCATGTTGTGTGCCTCATGCAGTCCTTGCATTAGAGTGGTTTGCCCTATTTCCCCTAGAACAGTGGTCGGCAAACTGCAGCTCAGTAAACCGAGGCTCGCAAGCCACATGCGGCTCTTTGGCCCCTTCAGTGTGGCTCCTCCACAAAATACCAGCTCTTCCACAAAATACTGACTTCTGCACATGGGCCACAAAGTTTCAATCGCACTGTACATGTGCGCCCGCACGTGGTATTTTGTGGAAGAGCCACACTGAAGGGGCCAAAGAGCCGCATGTGGCTCGCGAGCCACGATTTGCCGACCACGGCTAGAAGATCATACTCCCCTCAGTCTCCCACAGCCCTTTAATAAGGCAGAGCTGGTGCTCAGCAGATAACAGATTCTGACTGGCCAATTTGGGGACACAGCAGTAACAGCCATTGGGACTAACTGTCTCGGGCCAGGGGCCCTGAAGGAAGAAATGGGTGTCTAACTCCTTTCGTGCTGGTGTGTTTTGGCTACAGTGTCACAGCCACAGCTGCCAGCATCGGAGCTGCGGGTGTACCCCAGGCTGGCCTGGTGACCATGGTGATCGTGCTGAGTGCTGTGGGCCTGCCCACTGAGGATGTCACCCTGATCATCGCTGTCGACTGGTTCCTGTGAGTTGGAATAGTGCTGCAGAATATGCAGTCTGTCATCATTCTCTCTTCAGATTGCCTAATGAGCCATCTGTTGCTGCTTTCATTTCCCTCTGACCAGGCCATCTGATAATGTGGTTAAAAATTAACTCCTCATAACTTCAAGCAGTGATTTTAAAAAGCCAATGATCTCTACTAGCTCATTATACCTGGAAATGCTCAAGGTTAAGAGCCTGGCATTGGACAAGATAAACACAAAATAATATAGTGAAGAAGGTAGGCAAGGCCCCAGACATTCCAAACCCCGTAGGCCACCCTGGCCTATCCCAGCCCTAGGTCAGCAGCATAGGTTCAGACCACCTGGTTCAAAATCAGCCTATCTTCCCAGCTTCAGACCATCAGAGGCAGTGGCACAAGCAAAGGCTTTGCAATAAGACTGACTTGGGTTTGAATCCCTGGTCAGTGTCTTACTGGCTTTTGACCTTAAGTTCCTTAACCTCTCTGAGGTCCTGTTGCATTATCTGTAAGATGGAAAAAATTCCATCTATCTCATTGGGTTGGTTGCAGGGGTCCTCAAACTTTTTAAACAGGGGGCCAGTTCACTGTCCCTCAGACCGTTGGAGGGCCGGACTATAGTTTAAAAAAAAACTATGAACAAATTCCTATGCACACTGCACATATCTTATTTTGAAGTAAAAAAACAAATGTTTTCGGCGGGCCGCATGTGGCCCGCGGGCCGTAGTTTGAGGACCCCTTACTAAGGACTGAGTGAGCTAATGTGGGAGAAGTATCTAAAACGGTGTCTGGAAAGCAGTATGTGCTCAATAAAAGGCAAGTCTTAATTGTTATAACTAGAATAAGTTAGACCATTCAAGCCAATAATTCTCTCTCTCTCTCTCTCTCTCTCTCTCTCACTCACACACACACACACACACACACACGGCTAAGGAACACAGCAGAGCATCTGTGGTATATTCAGGGTAAGGTTAAGAACGTGCCTTTTGTGACCCTGAAGGTTAAAGTTGGAAAAAGCCTGATTCCACCTCTATCCTTGGTTAATACCCACGTTGTGCATTGATCTTCTGGCATCGAGGTCTCTGTCCCCTGGCCATCAGGAGTAAGTGTAGCTCCTTAGTGAGCCTTCACTCAGAGCCAGCCAGGCTTACTGGGGAGTCCAGTGGTGTGCAGTTTGCAAGTGGCAGCTGAGAATGAGGAAAGGGAAACATTCCATGTGGGTGTGAAGATACAGTCATGTCCCTAAAGGCAGAGCTCCTGCACAGGGAAGCTGTGCCATATGGGCTCCCCTTAGTGGCTACTTGGTTCTACAAAGCCCTACTGAGGTGGCACCTTTCTTGCAAAGGTACCCAACCATTGAGGCGAATGCTTCAATTTTTCTAATGGTGTTGGTGGACTTGCACTTCTCTCCTTTCCCTGGTTCTTCCTGGAATTGATGACTTTCACTCCAAGATCCCAGAAAAGTCAAAGGTTTAGTCTGATCCATGGTCCATTCTAGGGTCTAGTTCAACCCATAGCCTTGTTCTGTATAACAGCAGGGCATCCAGAGTGGGCATGTGTAAGCACTGTTGGCCTTTTCTGTCCTGCAGGTGTAGTTTTCATAAGAATATTCATGTACATAGTTTCTACCAACAGTGCTCTAGCATCCTCTCACCAGGATGCCTTCTCTTTCTACACAGTTTCCTGCCTACAGTCTCTTTTCCAGGCTGTCTGGGAGTAAAGACTAGCTGGGGGTGCCTCAAAGAGAAAGACATTCCCAGGCAAACCTGGTTTTCTGACCCTGCAATCTGTGGCATCCCTGCTGGCTTATTCATGGAGTGACTTGGTGTGGTAAAGAAAGAAGTACACCAGGGACACACAAACACAAGAACACTTGGACACATACCATGTGCCGCCCACAAAACATCCAGGTTCTCTCAGCTTAGTTAGCCAAGAGAGCCCGGAAATGTTCACAAAACAGAGGTTAGGGGTGAAAGATTTATGGAATTTTGACTGTCCCAAAATAATCTGTGAATACTATTCCCATTTCTTTGGGAAGAAAAGAGGGAATTCAGGTAAATTGATGCTGAAGTTTGGGGAGTCATTGTGACTTATTGGGAGCACAGGCCTGGGGGAGCTGGGTTGCTCATTCTGTCCCTTTATGAACCAACTTCTGCTCCAGGCCTGTGAGGAGAGGAGCCTCTGGTTGGCCAGCCATGAGGACAGCACTTTCTGCATTTGCTTAACTTGTAACTCAACACTTCAGGTCCTTTCTTCTCTCCAATGGCCAGGGAAATGAAATCTGGGGCTCCTGTCTGACTCACCCTCTCCCTTCCCCAGGGACCGGTTCAGGACCATGGTGAACGTCCTTGGTGACGCCTTTGGGACGGGCATCGTGGAGAAGCTCTCTAAGAAGGAGCTGGAGCAGATGAGTGTTGCATCTGACGTCAACTTCACGAACCCCTTTGCTGTGGAAACCACAGCACTCGATAATGAAGACTCAGACGCCAAGAAGTCCTATGTCAACGGAGGCTTTGCCATCGACAGATCTGACACCATCTCGTTCACCCAGACCTCACAGTTCTAGAGCCCTGGCTTCAGGTGACTGGGAATGATGAAGGACATCTCTTAGCAAATTCAAACATTAAGGAAAAGAAGAACACTAATGGCCAATTGTACATTTGACCTGATACACAGACCTCCAAATTATTTTCTATATTTGGATTCAGAGCTTTTGCTCTCTATGTTCTGGAACTTGGGGGTGGGGTAAGAGAAAAGGAAATTGATGAAAAAGCAAGCTATATTATCTGGAGTTTTAAAATTCTACAAGAGACGAAGTTTAGAAGTATATAACATAGCAGCTGTTGGAATTAGGTAACAGATGTGAAAGCGCAATTGCTTTCTCACGCACAGACCAGTGTTTGGGGTTTTTAAAAAACTATTCTGTCAGTGACTACAACTTTTTTACTCAGGCTTTCTATGGCATGGATTTCCTTTGACGTCTCACATTTTTTATAGATTGTAATGCATCCAAACCATCCCTCTTCTCTAGTTAATGTGCCAAATTGTCCATTTTGAACTCATCTCCAGCCAATTTCAAAGAAACTGCTTTGAAAGAAAACAGATCAGCACAGTTCTGCAATAACAGTTTTAAGATGAGTGTCAGGTTTGGGGGGAAGGGAAATCCTTTTTTCAATGTACTGTATTGGGACACTGGTAACTATTAACCTAACCCAGTGTTCAGTGTAGAACTAGATATCCTATATAATAAAAGGGTAATATGCAAATTGACCCTAACAGCAGAACCACTGGGAATGACTGGTCACTATGACACACACTGACCACCAGGGGGCAGACGCTCAATGCAGGAGCTGCCCTTTGGTGGTCAGTGCGCTCCCACAGGGGGAACTCTGCTCAGCCACAAGCCAGGCTGACGGCTGCCAGTGCAGCGGTGGTGGTGGGAGCCTCTCCCGCCTCCTCAGCAGCGCTAAGGATGTCCGACTGAAGCTTAGGCCTGCTCCCTGCTGGCAAGTGGACATCTCCCGAGGGTTCCCGGGCTGCCAGAGGGATGTCTGATTGCCAGCTTATGCCCATTCTCCCGGGGAGCGGGCCTAAGCCAGCAGGTGGTCATCCCCCGAGGGGTCCCAGTTTGCGAGAGGGCACAGGCCAGGCTGAGGGATGTCCCCCCACTGAGTGCACAAATTTTTGTGCACCGGGCCTCTAGTATATATATATATACACACACATATACATACATACATACTAGGGGCCCAGTGCATGAATTCGTGCACCTTGAAAGGAACTGTGGACCACAAGGCTGTGGTGGGCACAGGGGCGGGTCTTGGCCCATCCTCCATGGCTCCGCCTAGCCCCTCCCACCGTGGCCCCCAGTCCCCTCTCCGCAGGCAGCCCCACTCCCGCCACTGCCGCTCCTATGCGCTGACCGTGCCGGCCCTGCTTGCACACACTGACAGCACAGAGTGATTGGGGCTGGTGTCAGGAGCAGGTGGGAGCGGCAGCTGCTGCCCAGATCACCCCTCAGGAGCAGGGAAAGAAGCCCTCAAGGGCAATCGGGGCCAGCAGCTACCCCTCGCACCCACTGATGGTGCCAGCCCCAATTGCTGCGTGCTGTCAGTGGGTGTGAGCAGGGCCATCACCAGCAGTGGGTGCGAGTGCCAGGCGGGACTGCGGCGCACAGGAGCAAAGAATTTTCAATAACCACCAGAGGCTCACCCTGATGATAGCAACCGGCGCCCCGCCTTGGTCTGGTGCCCCTGCTCACCTGCTCCACCATTCTGCCCTGGCCAACACCCACCATGTTCTGCGCACACCCTCTGGTGGTCAGAGCACGTCATAGCGAACAGTTGTTCAGTGGTCCGCTGTTTTGTCTATTTGCATATTAGGGTTTTATATATATAGATATGTATATATTATTTTCATATAATTTGCCAGACAGAGATCAGAATGGAACAGTCAATGTGAAATAAAGAGCTCTCCTAATACTTGAATATTAACTATGATTCTAATCCAGACCTACTCTGGGGCTTATCAGAACTCCTCTCTCAGGAGTACTAGACTGAGAAATCATGTTGTTCGATCATTTCTGCCCCAAAGCAGAGATGTGGTATGGTGATATTCTGATGTGGCATAGACATTCGTTACACCTTCTAAATTCTGCTGGGAGGGAATCATATCAGCTCTATGTGAGATTATGTTCAAAGATGTCACTCACATAAGGCTGGATGTGTTTTTATCCAACTGGAAGGCTTCATTCTTCCAAGGTCAGTAATACCCACTTAAAAATGATAGTACTTTGCCCTTTTGTACCCATCAGGGCCCAAGCAACAGTGGCAAGCTACCAGATAACTTGTATTTCAATATGAATTTGATAGGTTGAACAAGCCACATTGCCCAGAAAGGAACTATCCCTACCCTGGGTTCTTGCAGAGTAACTCCCACAACCTGAGACCTTGGGATCAGTGGTTCAGGAAAATCCTTCACTCGTGTGGCACTTGTCTCTTCCTCCGGAGAGGATTGTTTTAACCGACTAGCAGTCTAATGATCTTGGCCCTGCTCGTTAAAATCCATCATTTGCCATTCTGCTAATTTATGAAGATATCTTCTTAAAGTCTGTGCTTCAGCTCACATCTTGTAAATAATGCTTAACATGACTTTTGTATTTACACTGAGATCCACAATACTTGTGCTTCTGCAGTACTGAGTAGCCAATTTAAGCCTGTGCTTTCCTATTTACCTAGTAAGAAACCAGAAATTGTGCCAAAGAGCATGGAGACATGAATACATGCTCAGTGTTGGCCACCTGCACCTGAAGTCTACAGGAGCATGATACTGAATTGTCCAGTAAACATCATAGATATGAACCAGTCATTCAATGTGAGTTTTTAAATGCAAAGAATGGTATCGTTTATAGAAAGTCAATCTAAATATAATGCAGTTGAGTTGGTAATTTATCTTGGGCTGAATGGTTCTACCCCCTTGGCAGGTTTCTCTGATTTGAGGCACCAGAGTTGCAGAGCTGTTCATGAACTGCGGGCCATCCTTATTTTGGAGTCTGTTTGTAACTGACCTCTTAACACACTGTGCTGTTAGTTCATCAAAGAGAACGATGTTCCATTTCAGTCTCAATAAACATTTCCATCATTCTTTCTTCCCCGCCTTTCTCTGTTCTTTTATCTCACTCTGCTGGGTGTGGGAAGGTGGAGACGTGGTCAGTTCATTCAGATTGTAGACAGATTGTCATTTCCAAAACTGTCTTTATAGCCAAGAATGAAAAAGCAGGGCTGAGGGGGAGTAATCTAATTCTTCATGTTAATCAGTGGGGATTAAAAGGTTGAAATTCATTGTCATTTCGAACAGCTTGCCCATACTTGATGACGGAGATGAAAAGGAAAATAGGATTTGGTTAGAAATTACTGTAATGGGCCCTAACCGGTTTGGCTCAGTGGATGGAGCATCGGCCTGTGGACTGAAGGGTTCCGGGTTCGATTCCGGCCAAGGGCATGTACCTTGGTTGCGGGCACATCCCCAGTGGGAGGTGTGCAGGAAGCAGCTGATCGATGTTTCTCTCTCATCGATGTTTCTAGCTCTCTATCCATCTCCTTTCCTCTCTGTGAAAAATCAATAAAATATATTTTAAAAAAATAATAATAAAATAAAGAAATTACTGTAATGGGGGAAAGTCACCATATTGATGGTGACTTGGTTTCACTGAAGGACTGATCCTGACCTCTGAAATGTTCCTACAAACGACGAATGGCTGTATTCAGAGTGCTCTTTTTTTTTTTTCTAAAATATGTTTTTTTTGATTTCAGAGAAGAAGGGGGAGGGGGAGAGAAATAGAAACATCAATGATGAAAGAGAATCATTGATTGGCTGCCTCCTACACACCCCACACTGGCATGTGCCCTCACTGGGAATCGAACTGTCACCTCCTGGTTCATAGGTCAATGCTCAACCACTGAGCCCACCAGCTGGACTTCAGAGAGTTCTTTAAAGGAATGGCACAGTCCTGCCTGGAACCTCGGTCATGATGGGGTTCCTCCAGCAGACACACTGGTTAGTGACAGACAATACGGAACAGACAGCTCTCTCTGCCCCACTTAGTGTGTGTCTCATAAAAATGCTTATCACTGCCTGGTCAAACTAATTCGGAACAGTCTTCTCTTTTGGCAGCGTGGGATAAAATACCCAACAACACAACTCCTTACAGAGAGATCTGTTTGGAAAAGTTAGTGAACCTGGGTAGGGACCCCCATATGATTTTGATCTGCCCAAAGTATACTCATGAACAGAGCAAAGGTGTTACTAGCGCTGGAAAATAACTCTTTCCCCACAAAACCTTAGTGAGCCCACTGGGTACAATGCCTGTTATTTAAACCATAGCATTCTTAGAATAGTATGAAGAAACTGTGTTTGGCTTCTCGTTGGCAGTGGGCCAGCAACAGTGTTGGCTTTGCAGGTGTTTAAGAATCTTCCCTCCTGGTACAGAAAGAAGAAATGGTCATGCAGAGCCTTGGCAGAATTCTAAAAAGTTCTATGCAACAGAATATTCTGTATTCTCTAGATGCCCAGCAAGGGACCCATGAGTAGGCATGTGGCTGGTCTCTTAACCATTTTGTGACCCTTGCCAGTAATCTAAGGCCTTGGTTTAATCTTCTGTGAAATGGTGATAAATCTTGACCCTTGGGGTTGCTTTAAGTTAAATGAGAAAATGCGTATAATTCATTTAGCAGAAACCCTGTCACATGTTTGATAAATGCTAGTGTCCCCCACACCACACAAAACCCCTACACTCTCACCCCCATTTACATGGGCAACCCATAGAGATGCAACTTTAGTTACTAGTCAGTGTTTTGAGACCTGTCTCAGTTATTAAAGCAAATAGTGCATCCAACCTAGTGAGACTTATTATATTAACAAATCCCATTCTAGGAAGGGGAAACCGGACATTTTGATATAAATAGTGTAAGACTTAGAATATTCTCTCCTGTAAAGTATCACATGGGCACTGAACAAAAAGCATCCACAATTTTTTGGCTGTGGCCTGTGGCAGAGAGGTTTGAGATCAGGTTGTGTGAGGCGGGGCTGTGCATTCACATAGCACTCTTTCTATTAAGTCCTGAGATTTGTGATGTGAAGTTCACTTCTGCCAGGTCGGCCTGGCTGTCTCATGAGACTGTTCTCCCCATGCTGAGACTTGGCTCTGGGCCCCACGTGAGGTTTTTAAAATACCCTCTGTGGTAGGAAATGTGCCTCTCCCCCCTGCAATCTTAACTTTTTAAGTAAAAGCTATATAATATAAACAAGAAGTAAGCCTTGTTTAATTAGCTTTGGGAACAATACATATTGATCCACATGGATCGAATTAGATGACTGTACATTAAGTGTATGAAGTTATTGATCATGAACGGAGATGACTGGGGACATTTCTCAGTGGCCCAGGCTAAATAACACCCCAAAAGTCCTAAG